ATGGGCGACTTCCCGTGGCTCCAATCGCCAGCCTAAAGGGCCCCCAGACCAGTGTATTTTGTACGGAGAACCGCGGCTCCGGGGCGCCGACAAAGCAGCCGCGCGGGGCAAAGCAGCGGGGCCGGCCGGCACTGGCGGCACAGCTGCGCTGGCCGAAACAGCCGCGCTGGCGACCCTGGAGCACCTCTGCCCGCGAGTTTCCTAGTCTGTGGGCAATAAAAACGCGGCGTCCACTCACCCTCTGCGCTTTCACTGGGAGCTGCAATCCTGAGCTGTTCCTAAACGGCCATCTTGGATCAACCAGCCTCTCTTTCTTATTTCTTTTTGAGACAGTCTCACTCTGTCACCCAGGCTAGAAGGCAGTGGTGCAAATCTCGGCTCACTGCCTCCAGGGTCCAAGCAATTCTCTGCCTCAGCCTCCAGAGCAGCTGGGATTACAGGTGCGACACTACACCCAGCTAATTTTTGTATTTTTAATAGAGATTTCACCATATTGGCCAGGCTGGTCTTGAACTACTGACCTCATGATCCATCCACCTCAGCCTCCCAAAGTGCTAGGATTAGAGGCATGAGCCACTGCACCCAGCCGAGAGTTTTATTTTTTAAACTCTCCGTCCCATCTTCGAGTCTTATAAAACTATTCAGTCTCTTTGGGCTGGAGCCACCTGTGACAGATGCAGGAGCTAGTGAGGCATCCTCTCCTCCACGATGGGCCCATGGGGGTACATAAAGCTTTCCTAGGCAATACTCACTTGGTTTTGGCACAGTTCCTCAAAGGAGCCCTTCACCCCAAGCTTGGCTGCAAACGAGGGAAGTGTGTCTGTGTCAGGAACCACCACTCCTATTAAGGATGACTATGGAAAGGAAATAAAGGTGCAAGGGCATGAGAGAAGTCGTGTAGGAATGTCCTCCAGTAGTTAAATAAAGCAGAATTATGTCATTGTAATTGCTATTTCCCCAAAACCTTAAATCCAGTACCAGTGTTCTTTTCTCACCATATTATTTTCAACACCCATGGAACTATAATGCCGTTTTCCCACATAATATCTCATTTACAAAGATGTTCTATTCAAATCTGATTATTCAACATTAAACTTGAAGCATCTCTCCTTGTCTATGTCAACTCTCCCCTTACCCCCAAAAAGCTATGTTTAAGCACAGTGTGCATAAAACAGCTTGTTGTTTTGGGATAAGGAGTTCCTTAAAGTTACGTTCAAGCACGGTGTGTATAAAACAAGTTTGTTGATCGAAGTTTTGTTTGTTGTTTTGTACATACCGCAACAGTTTGTTGTTTTATACATAGTGCACTTAAACATAGCTTTAAGGAACTCCTTATGGAATGGAAACTAAGTGCAATGTGGAGCTCTTTTTTTTTTCTGAGACAGAGTCTCACTCTGTCATCTAGGCTGGAGCACCGTGGCGTGATCTTGGCTCACTGCAACGTCTACCTCCTGGGTTCAAGTGATTCTCCTGCCTCAGCCTCCGAAGTAGCTGGGATTATAGGCACGCGCCACTATGTCTGGCTAGTTTTTGTATTTTTAGTAGAGATGGGGTTTCACCGTATTGGCCAGGCTGATCTTGAACCTCCTGACCTCGCGATCTACCTGCCGCAGCCTCTAAAAGTCATTTTATACTGAATTGCTACATTTTAGTATAGCCATTTTAAACAATTCTACTAACTTGGGTACAAAGTCCATCAAAGTTTCAAAAAATTTTTAATTGAAATTGCCTGATTTGAGGTTTGGAATATAATTTCATTTTTTTTTTTTTTTTTTTTTTTATAAGCTTGGATCTTCCCATTCTGACCCCAACTATACAAATTTCCAGTAGCTACAGGAACCAGCATGATTTGTGACTGAAAAAAGCTATTGTTAAAATCATATATTACCCTTAAGCTCTCCCCATGTACAAAAACTTGTGCCACTGGTCTACTCCTGATGTAGATATTTTCTATCTTCTCTGGCGCAATGTATTCTCCTTGGGCCAGCTTGAAAATGTTCTTTTTACGGTCAATGATCTTCAGAGTTCCATTCTGTATGAGACAGATAAAAGTATGAGTATTTTTGAGCCATAGAAGCGCTATCAGTGGGGAGAGTGGTGAAGTCACAGTTATCTTTCTTTACTAAAGCTGATTTTTCCAGACACTTTTGAGCTGTCTTTTATTTCTCTTTCTTGGCTTTGGGGAAAGGGGAGGGAAGCATCTTGCAGCAAGAACCTGTCTTTACTATATATCTATGTGGAGAGTCAATGTGCAGCCTCAGAAAAAGTCTCCTGGATCCCCTGGGGTTATGCAAATTGATGCCTCATCCAAGGAGGAAATCGTGCAGCTCTCAATTTCCAATCACTAATTTTCAATTAGTTCATTTTTAGAACTCTCAGCAGTAGAGAAGGGGTTGTCTCTTATTTAGACTTTTGATTTGATTTTAATAGTTCTCCCACTGCTTGACTCCCTGTTTTGTTTTCCTCTTTGTTAGATCCAGGAGCAGGTTCAAACAGCTCCGCTGTGCTAATCAAGCAAGTCAATTACTGGGCTTGTTAGGACAGCAACCGGGCTGAGAGGGCTCCGACCAGCCACCAGAGGTCATTTGCAGCTTCATTTCTCTGAACTAATTGGTCTGAGGAGCTTAGGACTTTAGGGATTTGAACCACAGAATTGGGACAAATGGCAAATACCATCCACATGACAACACCCTAAGCAGGGTGACTAACTAAACAACTCTGGACCGATCACAAGGCAGACTCAAGAAACTAGCCATCAATTCAGCCTAATATTCATTATCCTAAAATGACTAGTAAAGCGCAGCTTTCTATAACACTGGTATGGGGACATATCTAGTGCTTACATCCTAGGCTTATTAGAGTGTTATTTAATCCTGTTACTAGACAGAAACAAATATGTTAGCAAGATACTACCAAACCCAAATCAATATAATGCATTGTTAGGACCAGTGTTCTTAAAAGTTACATTGTCAAGATTCCTTAAATCTCACTTAAATCTTAAATATTGATTGAGCAAGAAAAGAGTGTTAAGTTCTTGTTATATTCCTACTTCCCCAGCACACAGTAGACAAAACTTTAGAGAGCTGAGATCTTTTGGAAAACCCCATCACTGCCCTTGCAATAATTTCCTTTCTTCTTAGGAAAATTAATAGCAACTGCGGCTAATTATCATCAAGCTATGCTTAAAAAAAAAAAAAAAAAG